TCCTAAAGTTTCAGTTTTCCAGCTTTTCTGGTTCCCGAGTTAGCAATTTTCCCCCAAAACTTTCACAGGGTCGTACGTAACCTGAAGGCATAAGTGGGGGCTGAGTTTGAAGCCTTCGAGTTGTGCGTGGGCTGGAAACATTCCCTTAAAATTTCAGCCTCTTAACTTTTCTGGTTCCCAAATTAACGACTTTCCCGCCAGGAATCTTCGTGAGGCCGTATGCGGAAATCACGCACAACTGCGAGCTGAATCTGAAATCTTTGAGTTTTATGTAGACGGGAACACAGCCTCAAAATTTCAGCTTTCTAGCTTTCTGGTTCCCAAGTTAGCGATTTTCCCTACAAAACCTTCACCCTCTCGTATGCGGGACCCAGTCTTGCATGTGGTTGGTACCGTGGTCCTGGATTAATACTTGGCGGGGAACCAACTGACAAAATTGTGGCTCCGGAGCTTGCTTGGTTGCCAAGCTGAAATACTCGGAGTGACGAAACAAACACGCAAACAAACATACACTCATAAACAGGGTCGTTGCGATGCGCGTTTTTACAATTTCCACATATGCCGAAGCGCATAAAAAGTAATGTAATATGAGTCTGTGTACAAAAGGGTCCTTGACAATGTGAAACTTGATTCTATGTTTCTGGGCACGCACGTGTTCAGGACTATATCCACAACTTTGGATCTCACAGCTCACGCAGTCTTAGGGTGAAGCGAGGCAAATCGACATAAACACGCATGTATAGACAAACGCAAATGGTTATAGGAAAGTGTAGTTGTCTCCTTTACCTGAGTCTTGTTTGCAACAATAAACTGCTTACGCCAAGGCCCAACTTTGCCAAAGCTGCTCTATACCACCAAAAAGAACTCGGGCAATGAACGCTAGTAATTTAGTGGTATTACTGGCATGCTCTCTCGCAGGCTTGCTCAGCTGCATTAGGCCTAGTCTGCCATGCACATTGCACGATATGAACACAAGAAAAATTTAGCATATATGGAGCGTAATAGAAATAAATTTGTGTGTGTGGTGCGATTCTTCCGGATGGTTTCCTCTCCTTGTTTCCAGCTCGTCGATGTCATTGTCACCATCGTCGTCTTCACTATTGCCGGTGCCATCGTCACGATCATCGGTTATCACCCCCAAAAAGAAGTCATGCGCCGCTGCTGCACCGATGCAGCATATATTGTGAGTAAATTTTTGTTTAACCACCGCTCGTTCATTGCATCTTTGCGCGCTGAGAGAACCTGTTTGATTTGAACTACTCAGATGTCGAAAACACGGGCAGTGTATGTTTTGGAGCATCGTCTTTCGATGGAATTGCAAAATGCTTGAATGAAATTGGATGTGTTAACAGTATTTTTAGTTCAGAATGTAAAACATTTTTTGCGATCAAATACGTGCTGACAATGAGGGGTATTTGGAAGCGCAATCGGGATCCAGAAACAAGGGCGCTGCTCAATTACCAACCACGTTGGACCAGATTGATGCCTGATCGGTAGAACGAAGCGCTGCCTTTTTTCCGGCGTTCAAATTAAACACCGGCATAGGTTATCACCTTTAAGAGCTGATTGGCTGTTTGCCTCTGAGCACGAATATACATCCTTCTGGCACTCATTTTGGCCAAAATTTGCTGCTTTATTTCA